TTTTGCACTCACAGAGTTTGCACAGTGCCATGTGAGACGTCATCTCGACGATGGAACTCCACAGTCTGGGCTTTTCTTTCACACCGTGAGAGGAAATGGAAACCTAACGGACACAAGCTCTACATTAAGTTGGTGAGGTTCAGGCAGAACAGTTACGAACAAAGAAAAGCCTAAAATAGTCTTTTTTAAATATGCTGGAAACAATATACAACACATTAAATCTCCCAAACGCACCAGTAGTGATCCCAGTTAATAAATTCAGAGTGAAAGCAGTGCAGGGCCGTGTTTCACTCACCTCTGTCAAAGGTAATGTCTCGTAAGTCGTCATGAGCCTACTCATGGCTGAGGAGGAATGACCCACAGACCCTCACAGAGCTAACCTATCAACCCTGTGACTCACCGTATGAAATAAGGCTTTCTGAAAAACCCGGACGCATGGCATGTGTGAAACTGCACACAAGGTCATTTTAATGAGCGACTGTGTGGCTCCCTCAGGTCTTCCAGAAATATTTTCCCACACTGGCTCCAGAGTCAACCACACTGAACAAATCAGATTAGCGAGGTTATACTAGTCATCAGCATACCGCGTTTTACTCCGTCTTCACTCGTTTTCATATCTGACCTGAAAAGGCTCATTTAGTGGTGGCCAAAAAAATGCCCGTCAGACCTGAAGCTGCATTACATCACATTCATAATCTGAGGAGCTTGGAAAGAAAAGCGTCTGGACTTCTTTAAGTTGCTTGAAAAGCAAAAGTGAAGACTATGATGACCTGGATGACTGAGAACCTTCACAGACATCACACTCATAACAACATCTGTACTTTTATTAATTTTACTATAACTGTCTATACAGTAAAGACCACAGGATGTGCAAACACTCACCTCTCAGCTCCTTCTGTGTCCGGGACATAATAGCACATGGAAGGCATTTATATGATGTGGAAACTGAAACCAAAGTGACATGGGTTAAGTTTCATTTTCTGACTTTCATGTCCTCAGCTTTCATTTCTGAAATGAAATAACCGAAGGGAATCTGACACTCAAGAGATAATTTTATAAACAAAGGAAATAACCGAGGAAGTATTTAATTACCTTTAAAGAAAAATGTCTGTATCCAGCGTAAAAGCTGGATTTTACAGCAAGAAAATCAGTAAACACGTACTGATTTTTATAGCTCAGCTCACACTCACGGGCTGTGAATTTAACAGTATCTACATCGATGTATAGCTGAGCACAGCATTGTTAGTCATGGGTCAGTGTATGGAAAAACTCCAAGGCTGATGAACTAATGAGGCTTTGGGAGTTAAGTCAGCCATGTTAATGTATAATGTGAAAGGTAGAGCTCAGCCTGCGCCCTGAGAGAAGCTCAACTCAATACATCTACTCAATGTATGTTTGGGGGGAAAGTACCACACAAGGCAGAGAGTTTGTTCTTTTGAACTAAACTAAAATTCAGCTGCTGTTGATTTAAAGAAATACTTCAGTTGAACCTGCGCTTCTTGTCTGCTCTCTTTCTTTTTAACATTTTGAGATTGTTTCCAAGTGAAGAAAAGAACATTTTAATCGTGAGTGGTGAGGTATTCATCAGCACTTCTTCTGCTCACCAATTAACTTCCTGTTTAGATTCTGTGGTCCTGGCAGTGTATTTTAAAGACTGAGA